CGTCTTGTTGTTGGAGCTCCCTTGTGTTACTACTGTGAATCCTAAATAGTCTATCTGTGTACCGATTCCAGCTTCGTTCCTGACCCTGCTTGTTTTCCGCTTGTCCTGACCTCGGCTTGCCTACTGGATTCCCTGTGTCTTCTCCCATTGTACCCTGCTCCAGCTAGCGGTCTCCTCTACCTCAGCTGGGTGAACTAGGGGGCCGCGACCTGGTCCCCGCCTGCTGCAAGTCCATCCCAACCATCAGGGGCCCTGGTGAACAAGCAGGCTGGGGTTTAGACTCCGCGCCCTGGGGAACCCCAAATTGTGGATCAAGAGCTCACTACCACAGGTACTGACATTCATGATGCAGTTTGTTTACTAATGTTCTCTAACAAACCTATGAGGGCTTCACAGAACAGCTGTATTTATACTGGGATTAAATTACACACAGGTCAACTCTATTTACTAATTAGTTGACTTCTGAAGGCAATTGGTTCCACTAGATTTTAGTTAGGGGTATCAGAGTAAAAGGGGGCTGAATACAAATGAAAGCCACACTTTTCAAATATTTATTTGTAAACATTTTTGAAAACCATTTATCATTTTCCTTTCACTCCACAAATATGTGCCACTTTATGTTGGTCTATCACATATAAAATCCCAATAATATACATTTATGTTTTTGGTTGTAACATGACAAAATGTGGAAAATGTCAAGGGGTATGAATACTTTTTCAAGGAACTGCAGGTGTGGGACTGTCCTGTCCAATCCACAACAGTATGCATCTATGAATTATGTGATAAGAAAATTCCTGTTTATTTCAGCTGCACATTAATAATACAATTTGAGTGAAAATTCTCAGATCCTTTAGTAGAACATCCCAAGAGTCTGTAGTTTTAATGATATTAATTACTCTAACAAAATAGTATTGTATGCATTAAAATTAGTACGCACATAAAAAAATAATTCAAACAATGCTGTTTTTGCAGCATAATGTGTAGTCCATGCTAAATAGGTCAGGTTACCAAAATAAATCATTTCTAACAGAACTTGGCTGACTAACAGAAAGCGAAGTAAAAGGAAAATGGAGATTCTGCTGTAACAATCAGATTTCTGGTTCAGTCTTTAACTGTACATATGGAAGGTGAAACATTCCATTTTCTTAGTCGTATGTGCAAAATATTTCACTTTGATCTGTTTGTTATAAATCATCCCTTTCCATACAATTTATTAGATGTTTCTAGCCCCCACCCCTCCATCCTTCCCATCCAGTGGGTGTTAGTAACGTGTTTTCATCTCTAGATCATCTCAGTAATGCACAGCTTTACACCTCTCAGATTTCCTATACCTTTCTTTATGGGATATCTTTCTATACAAGCTCTTTCTATATCCTTCTATACAGTATTTTTACATATCTTTCCATGCAGGATCTTTCTATATAGAGGATGTTTTTATATATTTCAATATAGTATATTTCTAATTTTCTATCCATTATCTTTCTATACAGGATCTGTCTACACAGCATCTTTCTATATCTTTAAGACAGACACTTCCTTTACAGTATCTTTCTATATCTTTTAGACACTTATTTTACAGTATCTTTCTATATCTTTCCATACAATATCTATCTTTTTATAGTACATTTCTATAAAAGGATCTTCCTACACTATATCTTTCTATATCCTTTATACAAGGCTCTTTCTTTACAGTATCTGTATTCTTCAATAAGGGATCTTAGGCAGGCCATAGACTTCCGATAAAGTTGACGAATTATCGGCCGATATTCGGATCGTTACTGGGGAAATCGGTTGGCCGTTTTTCGTAATTTTAAGACATTTAGAAAAATCGGCCCTGCTGGAAAATCGTCGGCCGATTTGGTCGTACGGCCGATTTTCGCAGTAATTATGGTCAAATTGGCCATTCTTTTTGCAGATTTTCAAATAAATTGAATATGAAGAAAAAGAAGAAATAGAATATCAAGAAGTAGAAGAAATAGATTTTGCAGGAGAAGAAGAAATAGATTTTTCAGGAGAAGAAGAAATAGAGTTTGCAGGAGAAGAAGAAAAAGTTGCAATATTGTATCTATTTGTATCCATTTCAGATACAGATGTTTCTATTCAAGTACAAATAGATACAATGTTGTTCCTTCTTCTTATGCATAATCTATTTCTTCTGTCAAATATAATAGCGGGGCTCTATGCAGGGACACCGCTATTATATTAATTGCTGGCTGTAGACGGGACGAAAACCAGCCGACTTCTTTTTACAATGGTAGTAACGTCGGCTGACTGAACGACCGATTTTACGATTTTCTAAAAAAAAAAAACGGCCGGTTTTCTCCAAGTCTATGGCCTGCTTTACTATACAGTATTTTCCTACATAGGATCTTACTACATAGCATCTATGTCTGTTATACAGAGACTTTTTTTTTTACAGTATCTGTCTATATAGTATTTTTTTAAATCTTTCTTTATAGTATCATTCTATATAATATATGTTTATCTTTCTATACAGCATCGTTCTATATATTTTATACAGCCACTTCCTATACAGTACATTTCTACATAGGATCTTTCCATATATTTTAAGTCTCTTCCTATATAGGATCTTCCTACACAGGATCTTACATAGATATTTTATCTTTCCATATTTTCAGTACAGTATTTTTCTATCCAGTATCTCTCTCTCTCCAGAATCTTTCTCTTCGATCCGGCTCCTCTCTTTCTCTTCGTCTCCTTCAATCCGGCTCCTCTCTCTCTTCGTCTCCTTCGATCCGGCTCCGCTCTTTCTCTTCGTCTCCTTCGATCCGGCTCCTCTCTTTCTCTTCGTCTCCTTCGATCCGGCTCCTCTCTTTCTCTTAGTCTCCTTCTATCCGGCTCCTCTCTTCTCTTAGTCTCCTTCTATCCGGCTCCTCTCTCTCTCTTAGTCTCCTTCTATCCGGCTCCTCTCTCTTAGTCTCCTTCTATCCGGCTCCTCTCTTTCTCTTAGTCTCCTATCCGGCTCCTCTCTTTCTCTTCGTCTCCTTCTATCCGGCTCCGCTCTTTCTCTTCGTCTCCTTCTATCCGGCTCCGCTCTTTCTCTTCGTCTCCTTCTATCCGGCTCCGCTCTCTTCTCTTCGATCCGGTCTCCTTCTATCTTCTATCCGGCTCCGCTCTTTCTCTTCGTCTCTTCTTCCTTCTATCCGGCTCCTCTCTTTCTCTTAGTCTCCTTCGATCCAGCTCCTCTCTTTCTCTCTTAGTCTCCTTCTATCCGGCTCCTCTCTTTCTCTTAGTTTCCTTCTATCCGGCTCCTCTCTCTCTTAGTCTCCTTCTATCCGGCTCCTCTCTTTCTCTCTTCGTCTCCTTCGATCCGGCTCCTCTCTCTCTTCGTCTCCTTCGATCCGGCTCCTCTCTCTCTCGTCTCCTTCGATCCGCTCCTCTCTCTCTCTCTTCGTCTCCTTCGATCCGGCTCCTTCTCTCTCTTCGTCTCCTTCGATCCGGCTCCGCTCTTTCTCTTCGTCTCCTTCGATCTGGCTCCTCTCTTTCTCTTAGTCTCCTTCGATCCGGCTCCTCTCTTTCTCTTAGTCTCCTTCGATCCGGCTCCTCTCTTTCTCTTAGTCTCCTTCTATCCGGCTCCTCTCTTTCTCTTAGTTTCCTTCTATCCGGCTCCTCTCTCTTAGTCTCCTTCTATCCGGCTCCTCTCTTTCTCTTAGTCTCTATCCGGCTCCTCTCTTTCTCTTAGTCTCCTTCTATCCGGCTCCTCTCTTCTCTCTTAGTCTCCTTATCGGCTCCTCTCTTTCTCCTTAGTCTCTTCTCCGGCTCCTTCTTTCTCTTAGTCTCCTTCTATCCGGCTCTCTCTCCTTTTTCTTTCCTTCTATCCGGCTCCTCTCTTTTTCTTAGTCTCCTTCTATCCGGCTCCTCTCTTTCTCTTAGTCTCCTTCTATCCGTCTCTCTCTTTCTCTTAGTCTCCTTCTATCCGGCTCCTCTCTTTCTCTTAGTCTCCTTCTATCCGGCTCCTCTCTTTCTCTTAGTCTCCTTCTATCCGGCATCTCTCCTTCTCTTAGTCTCCTTCTATCCTCCTCTCTCTCTTTCTCTTAGTCTCCTATCTGGCATCTCTCTCTCTCTTAGTCTCCTTCTATCCTGCATCTCTCTCTCTCTCTCTGTCACCTTCTATCCGGTACCTCTCTCTCTCTCTCTCTCTTAGTCACCTTCTATCCGGTATCTCTCTCTCTCTTAGTCTCCTTCTATCCGGTATCTCTCTCTCCGCCTCATTCTATGCAGTATCTCTCTCTCCATCTCCTTCTATCCAGTATCTCTCTCTCCCCGTCTCCTTCCATGCAGTATCTCTCTCTCCCCGTCTCCTTCCATGCAGTATCTCTCTCCCCGTCTCCTTCCATGCAGTATCTCTCTCCCCGTCTCCTTCTACCCAGTATCTCTCTCCCCGTCTCATTCTATCCAGTATCTTTCTCCGTCTCCTTCTATCCAGTAGGTTTCTCTGCTCCTCTGACATTCTGCGCCCCCTGCTCTGAGCCCGCAACAGCCTGGGCGTCTTGAAACCGCCGTACTGGGTTTGGCTGGGGAGCCTTGAAACCCTGGCACTCTCCCGGGCTGTATTTCGGTATAAAATGTGACGTTTCTATGTGAGGTGTAATTTGTGGAGGAAAATAAAGCGTTGTAAATACAAGGCGCCGATACCCGCACACCTCCACAACACCGAATGACAAAGTAACAATGTTATATTGTGGTATGGAGGCCAGTGACTGGTTGCTACCTCACTGCCTATTTCAGTCATGTCGGACAGACTCGCTTTCGGTCTCCTCAGTAGAAGCAATAGTGTGCAGCGTCTGTCAGTGGGTGTGAGTGGATAGAAGGTACCCTGTCTGTTCTGAATTCTTCTGCCGGTTAATTCAATCCCTGGGAAAAGGCAGCCGTGCACAAAGGCCGCATTACTGAGGGTTCCCGGGGGCCAGCAGAGCACAGAGCCGACTACAGAGAGAACTGACAGCATTAGAAACTAAAAACAATTGAATTGTACCTACTGCAAACATACGTAAGGCCCGGGGGGGCCTGGAAACCTCCCCGCAAAAATTCTCACCGCCACTTCATACCATTCAGCCTCTCTCGGGGAGCCTTGAAACCGGTGCAGTTCTTACTCCATAACTGACTTAATGGAAATGGCAGAGAGCCAAAGTGTTTACAGGCAGCTGACGGACAGCCTCGCCGACCAACCAGCTGGCGACCCCAGGCCGCGGGGCGGTGCCTGCTAGGGGGCGGGGTCAGGGACACAATGCTTGTTTCAGTTCTAGTGAAGCGCTCTCGGTGGCGGCTCGCTGTGGAGGTTGTGAAGGAGCTGCGTCAGTTCGGAGTTGGACTTCTGCACCAAGCTGACACGTCCGCTCACTGCACCGTACTGTACATGGACGGTTTTCTTTTATCGTGCTCCTCAGTCAATGAGGGACCGACCATGAGAGGGGATTAGCGGGGAGTGGAGTCATCTGGAATTCCCGGAGGGATGGCAGCTGTGTGAGGGAAGGAACTGCGCCAATCCACACCGAGGTAAACCGGAGACTCCATATTGATAGAGGGGAGTGCGGGCTGTACGCCGCGGGGGTCACGGGACACGTTCAGCCATCTTTTGCTGCACACAGCTCCGGGGCCCCGGATACAACTTCTCCGGACTGGGGGGGTATGAACACCGCCGGTCTGTGCGCCCATGTGTACTTACCGTCCGAGGATGGCGCTGTACACCGGGGGGCATGGAGCCCCTTCACTCCCAGCACTTCTCTCGCCAGCCTGGGCTCTGCTGGAAATGACATACTCTTTCTCCCATCATAATATCAACGAATATGTTCATTATTCCTATTAGGATTGATAGGACTGACCTGTTGATTAAAGGATGAAGCATTCACTTCAAAATAAACATTTTCCATACCCTACCTAAATAGATCAATGTACATCTACTAATGACTGCTAAATACACATGTAGATGTATAATCCTTTGAATAACTGCTAAATATTCAGTATAGCTGCCCAAACATCGTGTAATGAGTACTAACTGCCCAATATTTATATATAAACATCAACTAATAAATTCTAAAATATAGATGTATACACACACATCCAATAATGAATACTAAATACAATATATAGCTAGAAACATCAGATAATTAGTACTAAACACCCAATATAGATATATAAACACCAACTGACTACTGAATACCCAGATATAGATGTTTAGATACATAAATATCAAATTAATACATCTAAACATCTATATCTGGGTATTCAGTAGTCATCAGCTGGTGTTTATCTAAATTTGGTGTTTAGTACTATTTGCTGTTTAAAGCTATATATTGTGTTTTAGTATTCATCATTTTAATGTTTGTGTATCTATACAATATATAGCTACAAACATCAAATGAGTACTAAACACCCAATATAGATATCAACTAATGGCTACTGAATTCCCAAATATAGATGTATAAACCTCAAATAATGAGTACTAAATACCCAATATAGATATATAAACATCAACTAATGAATACTACTATGATATATATATATATATATATATATATATATATAGCTATAAATGTCAAATAATGAGTACTAAATATCAATATAGATATATAAACATCAACTAATGAATACTACATATGATATATATATATATATATATATAAACATCAAATAATGAGTACTAAATGTCCAATATAGATATATAAACATCAACTAATGAATACTACATATATCTATATTGCTATAAACATCAACTGAGTACTAAATGTCCAATACAGATATATAAACATCAACTAATACTACATACAATTTATAACTAGAAACATCAAATAATGATCTTTATATATCTATATTGGATATTTGCTACTCATTATTTGATGTTTATAGCTATATATCATATGTAGTATTAGTTGATGTTTATATATATCTATATCGGATATTTAGTACTCCACTAATGACATATGATATATAGCTATAAACATCAAATAATGATTACTAAATATCCAAAATAGATATATAAACATCAAGTAATACTACATCCGATATAAAGCTATAAACATTAAATGAGTACTAAATACCCAATATAGATATATAAACATCAACTAACGAATACTACATATGATATATAGCTATAAACATCAATGAGTACTAAATACCCAGTATAGTTATATATACATCAACTAATGAATACTAAATACCCAAATATAGATTTGTAAATCTCAAATAACCGGGGAATACTCAGTATAGATGCACAAACATCAAATGAAGAGTGCTAAATACCCAATATAGACATATGTACAAAATAATGAGCACAAATGTATCTTTTTGCCTTTGGTTCGATACATGTGTTTGGTTTGTCTGTATAGATAAAATACCTTTACCCTGCTATGTAATATTTCTGTAGGTTTGCCCCCTCCGCCCACCTACACAAGCGTCTTGGCTCTTTTCTTAGATTACAAGCAGACCCTATACAGAAATAGAGCATTGGAGTACTATTCTCATTTTTCCTTGGCATACATGATTTTATTTGATATGAAATATGTTTATATCAGCAGTGTTTTGTGACAATCTGCCTGGCATTTATTGTAGAATTATAATACGGGATTTATCATATTTGGTCTTTTCATGGGTTTTATACCAAAATAGAGGTCATGTTACTCAATTGTGACTTTTCAGTTGTGTGCTTTCTTTAAGAATGTACGAATTGCTTTTGGCATGCTGCTCTATATAAGGAGAGTTCAGATTGAATTTGTATTGCCTGCTAAGGATGTTTCATCAGATTCCATGTTGTTCCTAATAATTGCTAATATTTTTGCTCTTTCGTCAATGCTCCTATTTTCATTTTACTAAAATATTTTCTGAATAATTAGCACAGTTGGGATTATTAAAAATGTTGACATTACCATGCACTCAATGATATGTTTTATGATGCAGGTCCAATTTACACTAGAACGTATGCAAGAAAAAAATGGCTCCTGACACTGATGGCATAATAAAACAAATCACTGTAACTCTTTGCATATGCCCTTATTATTTTAATGTGTCAGTTTAGATTGTTGTACAATTATACTTTGCAGCGATCCAGTGAAAGTTTGGGCGTATAGCCCATATGTTAACAGATATAGGGGTTACACACACATTTCCATGGGAAGCACACTAAAGATGATATTGGAAGCTAGAACTGGGTGTTCTGCCATTCATGTCAATAGCTTGTTCAGTACCTGTAGACAAAAAAAACCCCCCAAAAAAACCACAGTAAAATGTCTAAGCTTGCACAGAATTGAATTCTAACTGTATTAAAATGTTTGTTTACTTTAGGTAGGATCTGAACCATGGTCCGGTTCAAGGATTCTATGTAAAGATGGATGGCAGAGAATTTGTGAACATGCCCCCCTTAGGGCTGTCAGGGCTAACACTGGAGCCTGGCCGTGTTTCCTCTGGAGCAGCTGGTGGGCGCCTTATTCCATCCACAGGTCAATTACCGCCATTTTGCACAGCAAAGTATTTCCCTACACCTCTTGGTTTACACTCACAGCCAGGTAAGACAGAAAAATGCCTATGAGTGCTTGTGAAAACTAAAATGGTGGTTTTGCTGTTAGTTGCAGGTAACCAGGCATCTAATGTTTCTGCTCTAGTTTATAGATCAACAGCCAGCTGTTTTCTGTGTCCCAGTTAACGGATGGGGGTAATTATTTTAATAGCTGTTTTCAGTGGAAATCCTATCTCCCTGATAGGGATCAAGGTCCTATATCTGGCCAATTACAAATGAGTTTCTGTCATTTAGAAGTCTAAGAAAATGGCAGAGTTTTTTGCTTTGCGCTTTTTTTTTTTTTTAATGCAATTTAAAGTTAAGTGATAGTTATACTTTGACAGCTTATAATGCTATTAAGTAGGCTGGCTACATATATTAAATCAGGTTGTACAATCTGCCCTAGATTTACCAAAAAACTCTTTAAATTAAGGTTTACCCTGTATTTAAACTGAATGGATTGTTGAGTTATGCCTTTAAACTGCATAATTGTTGGTAAATATAATGATTGACAGATTGTGGATAGCTTTAGTGTAATACTTGGAATGTGCAGAATTGTCAAATCCACAACAGGAGCTAGGGACAACATTTTAGTATAGTGTGCCAAACTGCACCTCTTTAAGGGCTCAGTCACAGAGTGGTGTAATAGATTATTGTGAAACATCATGCTGTTTGCTTTTTTTTCTATTTTGGCACAAAATTGCATACTTTCATTTACTGATTTGTGACAAGGTGTAGTGTGTGGATATACACTCACTGCCCACTTTATTAGGTACACCTTACTAGTGCCAAGAAAATATCCCCCACACCATTACATCACCAGCCTGAACTGCTGATATAAATCCGGATGAATCCATGCTTTCTTGTTTACGCCAAATTCTGACCCTACCATCTGAATGGTTTGCAGCAACCAGTCTGCCCATTCTCCTCTGACATCAACAAGGTATTTTTGACCACACAACTGCCGCTCACTGGATATTTTTCTCTTTTAGACCATTCTTTGTAAACCCTAGAGGTGGTTGTGTGTGAAAATCCCAGCAGAGCTGCAGTTTGTTAAATACTCAGACCAGCTTGTCTGGCACCAACAACCATGCCATGTTCAAATTCACTTAAATCCCCTTTTTTTTCCCATTCTGATGCTGAATTTAAACATCAGCAAGTCATCTTCACCATGTCTACATGCATAAATGCATTGAGTTGTTGCCATGTGATTGGCTGATTAGCAATTTGTGTTACCAAGCAATTGAACAGGTGTAACTAATACGTAGTACCTGCACAAAAATGCAGCATGTCCTTCTTTTTCTTTTTTTTCTATTTTTATTATCTAGTGCACACAATTGCAGCATGTTGTGTGTACTGAAAGGGAATATTGCAAATTGCCCAGTGCAGCCTATTGCACATGGTGCGACACCCTTAGATTTGGATTAGAACTGAGTGACTATTGTCAGTTTGTTCTGCTCGTGTGCACCCATATAACTGTGAACATTGATTCAGAATACTTTTAGGTTATGTTTGGTTTGGGCTTTTACATGTCATTTTCAGAATTGGCAGACGATGCTGAATTGCTCAGTGTTGTATCTTGAAATCCCTTCACTTAAACTGTGTAAACTCC